TTTTCAAAATATGCAAGTTAATCTGAATAGAGAGCACTAATTAAAAGCAATGAAAAAAGAGATGGAGTCATTGTGAAAAAACTATACATATGATCTTGTTAAACTTTTGAAAAGAAAAAAACCTTTGAAAAATAAATGGGTATTTAAGTTAAAAAAAAAAGATGGTGACAAACTATTGAGATATAAAGCTTGATTGGTGGTAAAGAATTTTTTTTTTTAGAAATCAGGCATCGATTTTGATGAGATCTTATTTCCAATTGTGAAAATGAGTTTTATTCAAGTGATACTAGGATTAACAGCTAGTTTGAATATTGAGCTTAAGTAACTTAATGTCAAGACTGCATTCTTGCATAGTGACTTATAGGAAGACATTTTTATTGATCAACCTGAAAGTTTTGAAGTGAAAAAAAGAGCACTTAGTTTGTAAACTGAAGAAAAACTAATATGGCTTGAAACAAGCTGTACAACAGTGGTACAAAAAATTTAATTTTTTATGGTAAGCCACGGTTATAAAAGAGTAGCAACAAATCCTTGTGTGTATATCAAAAAAATTTTTGATAGTAACTTCATTATTCTCTTATTATATGTTGATGATATATTGATTGTGAGACAAGATGCTGGTATAGTTTTTGGGTTGAAAGAACAATTGTCTAAGTCCTTTGACATGAAAGTTTTAAGTTCAGCAAAATAGATTCTCAATATGGACATTATCCAGGATAGAAAAGCTGAAAAGCTATGATTATCACATGAAAAGCATATTGAACGAGTGCTTAATAAATTCAACATGCAACATGCTAAATCAGTTGACAATCCACTTGTCAACCATTTTCATCTGAGTAAAAAATTTTATTCGATAACTAAAAAAGAGCAACTAATTATGTATAGTATTTCTTATTCTTCTGTAGTCAATACTTTAATGTATCTTATGGTTTGTACACAGCCTAATATTGCTCATGTAATTAATGTAGTGACTAATTTTTTTTAATCTAGGAAAGGTTCACTGAAAAGCAATGAAATAAATTTTTAGATATTTAAGGGCACCTCAAAAATGTGCTTGAGTTATGAAGTTTCACAATCAGTTCTAGAATAGTTTTTTATTGCTAATATAATAAGTGATCTTGATAGTAGGAAATCTACTTCATGTATTTATTCATTTTTACAGAAAAAGCTATTTTTAACAATTTAAGTTGCAAAAGTGTGTTACCTTATCAACTACAGAGACTGAGTATATTACAGCAATCAAAACAGGTAAAGAAACACTTTGGATGAAATGTTTTCTTCTTAAATTTGGGTTGAATCAAAAAGAATATGTGATGTTTTGTGATAGTCAGAGTATTTTAGATTTGAGTAAGAATGCAATGTATCATGCTAGAATGAAGCACATTAATATTAGATAACATTGATTACGTTCGGTGATTGAGGAATAGCAGATGCTGTTGAACAAATCCATATTGATGAAAATATACCAGATATATTAATTAAGATACTTTTCAGAAAAAAGTTTGAGCTTTGCATTAATTTGGCTAGAATAGGTTCCTTGTCAAAGTAAATTTCAAATGAAACTACTATGATAATGAATTTGCTCCTAATGGAGCTGGAGGAGGAGATTGTTAAGAAAAGTGAGGTCCAACCCCATTGGTTTTGGCCAATTAAAAGGCCTAAAACTTTTTCTTTTTTTTTTTGTCTTTGACCTAAGAGAGCCCTACTTATAAAAAGTCTTAAACAATAAAAGAGGGTTGTGTAATAGAGAAATAGAAGGTAGTGGTGTTGAAACTAAAAGAAAGAAGAAAAGTCAAGAAAAATAGAGAGAAAGGAAAAAATAGAGAGTTAATTGAACGGAAGTCGATTCGTAGTTCGATTGAGCTGAAATTTTATTAATAGTTTTATTATTTAGAATTCTACATTCTAAATGGTGAAGATCATGTTTGAAGCTCTCTGCAAATAAATCTAAGGTATATTTGTTGAGTCATTTATTTAGTGAAATTTCTTCAATTATCTCTCTAATTATTTATTAGTTTTAGTTTTAATTAGAGAAAAACTTTATATATTTATTATTTGATAGTAAAAATTTTTTAGTGATTTATGATTTTTTTTCTCTACACTTGAAGATTTTTTACGTAAATTTTGATGTGTTTTATTTTTTTTATGTTATTGATTGTTGATTGTTATCTATTATTATAAGTTTATTATAATATATTACTTTCATATTATTGTATTTATTATTTCAGGTTTGACACTTTGACGGCTATTCCTAACCGGAGCACAACCGGCAACGCAGCAATGTGCACTTAAAAACGTTTTAATTACGTGCACGGCTGCGATGTAACGTACCTCGTGCGGTTGTGAAATTTTACGACAAAGAGAACGTAGATTGGGCCGCGGAGGATGCTTTTGCTGCTGCGGAGGATGCTTTTGCTGAAAAGTTCATCGATCCAACTCAACATTTCATTTTCTATGTTTAATAAAGGATAACATTATACTAGTACTACTCAACTAGCTAGCTCTCAAACTCAGTAGTTGTAGTAGTAATTCTTAGAATTGATCTGTGTCAGTTACTCAGTCGGTCAAAAACCTTAATCGGAAAGATTCTAATAAAAAATTTGAAGATATATTATTTAATTGTATATATTATAATTTTTAGGTGGTACTAAAGATTTTAACACATCAATTTTTTATTTAAAAAATATTGGTTAATTGTATATATTATCATTTTTAAATAGTTACCATATTTAGTCTGTTTGTATTTTATATAAATAATGTTTTAGTCTCGTCAATAAAATCAGTTAAACCATTTATAAATTTTTTTTTCCCTCAAAAACCTTTAAACTCTTCAATTCGAGCTTTCCGATGCACTCTTAGATTATACTAATCTAAAAAAAAAAAAAAACAAACCTTCAAGCTTTTGACTCTGGTCACAAAATGTTGAAGGTAATAGGTTAACTGACTAGCGTGGCGATATCACCAGAGTCAATGGCACTCGGTTTCCAAGAAACTAAAGCCTTCTCTTCAACCTTTTCAATCTGGCCTTTTGTTTCTGAGTAATCTTGTCAAGGGGAGCAAGCCCTGAGTTTTGTAACATAACATGGGACACTGCCACACTTAAATGGAGGTGGGTGAACCAACTGCACAGGAATTGATTGCTCTTTTTTTTTTTTTTTTTGAGTGGTTTATTGATGAGTAATAGAGATTTTTATTTACTGGCTCATATCTCTCCTGTATTTGCACCATATCCAAGTAGTGCAGGTTGTACATGCCAAATATTGGTAATTAAACAGATTAGTCATCAGAATTAAGATTCATTTGGTACCAAAACACATTACCAAAGAGTTTCTTGGGAATATAATACCGAGTATTAATTCAAAAAAAAAATAAAGGTTTATCATATACATTATATATTGTCAATCAAATAGTAACAGCGAGCTTCTTTGTTAAACTTTACATCCAATGGTTTTTTACCGATCAATGCGCCCATAGACAGGGAAGCAGTGCAAAAAATTCAAACGGAGAAAGATCAGGAAGGATTCCCCTGGTTTCCGCTCGTGGATTATAGAGGAGATGCCAATGTAAAGAAGACAAACGCAAAAAAGTTTAAAAGCTTTATTTGGTTCTCCTGATTTTTTTATAACACAGTAAAACAATAACAATTAACAAAAGTAATCTCATTTTAAAGTTAGCAACTCGCTTAAGTAATATAAAGAAATTTTCTCGTTTATTAATTATGCACGAAAATCTTGTTTATTTTTCATTTGATGCTGCACCGCCTATAGGAGATCATGAGGTGGCGGACCGTTCTAATTATAGCAGCATTACCTGTCAGAGATTATATTTATATATATGCATGTTTCCCTCTGTCAAGGGAAGATCATAAAGTGAAATCTCAGATTAACTACTACTATAGCACCGTACGTCAAAAATAGTTGTTGATCCATAACCTTATTAATTCGCCGTTAAAGATTGGTTTCGAGGTTGTACAGTTCTTAATGGCTTAATTTTTTATAATTAAAATTATCAAAAATTGAATTTGATTACTTAAATTAAGATTTAGCACTTTATGCACTATTGACTTTTAATGGCTTAATACACAATTCTGTGTCTTACTCTTAGGTGGTGGTTACAAGTCTTTTTCACAGAGGAAGGGTGGAAGGAAAGGGCTCTCCAACTTCTAATCTAGTAATTGCTTTCTCTCTTTCCTACAAACTAATAACTAGTAATAGTAGTAAATTTTAGCTGAAGTCTTTAATCCATGTCCTTCTTCTTCTTTTTTTTTTTTTTTTTTTGAATGTTTCTTCCAAATAGATATTAGTAAATGAAAGACCAATTTTTCTAAAAAGTGCAATTTGTAAAGAAATAACTTAAATTTAAAGAGTACTTGGTTAACAAAATTCATAAAAGACTAGGTTCAACATCAAGTTTGATATGCATTTTACGAAAGATGGGCTAAAATTGAATTACTTTGCGGAAATGAATTGCTAAATACTGTAATTTGTAACTATTGACAAAAACAATTATTATCATTAAAGTGGATTGGTTACGCTAAACTTAAAGATGTTGAATGATCCTAAAATGTCATCATATGTTCATGATTCAAGAATCATGGCCATGATTAATTTTAAATGCAACATGTTTAACCCAAAAAAAAAAAAAGTGTCCATGCATGTAATATCAACTGAGATGATAAGTTGCAACCTTCAGGAGTTGAGTGGATTAATCACATGAAATGCCATGAATGCGAAAAACGTTATCCAATTACCCAATGGTATCATGCACCTTTCAACACATTTATTTAGTTACAACTTATGAGCCTTCTTTGTGGGCACCAAATTATTCTGTGATTTAAGTAAAGATATTTAATGTTGATTCATCTTCATATTGTTTGCCTTAATATTAAAATTAATGTTTGAAGATTGAAGTTAGAAAGAATTTATTATATATATAATGTACTCTTCAATTATAAATATAAGGGTATGAAAATTTAAAGTTAGATTAAAAAAATTGTAAAAATAAAGATATGTAGTTTCTATTAATGAAAAGCTTACAAAATAAATATAATTACATTTTATAAAGATATTTCTATCTCTATTGCTCCTATATTTTTTTGCTAAAAAAAGGATATTTATAAACGCTTTCAAAAAGAAAAAAATTAAGTCTCTCACCAGAAATTGGAAAGGCAAAAGTACGTCGGTGATGGAATCTAAAAGATGACATCTCTTGTCGTGAACCTTTTACAAAAAAAAGATTTATGTAATAATTAAACTCTCACAGCGGTACAACTTTCCGGTTTATGGTTGTTGATTAATCCGAACGAATTCTGGTAGAGAAAAAAAAAAAAAAAACTCCTATTTCCGTGAAAGAATTGGAGCACAAGAGTTGCAATAAAAGTTTGCAATTAATAGACTGAATGAACTAACACACTGTCCGCCTGTTTCAACAAACTCATTAACAACGGCCCTGAAACTCGCCTCCTTCTCTGCTTTCTTCCCTTAAATTCATGTCACATCTGGTTCTGGCAGATTTTCATGATTTCACTTTGTAAGCTACACCTTTTCCTTCTTTGCTTTTTTGTAAACTCTGGGGTTTCTTTACTTTCTTGTAAACAGATGTTTCTGGGGTTTTTTTTTTTTAATTTTGTTTTGTCTTTGTAAGTATCTTTAGTTCGCGCCCAACGGTTTTCTCACTGTTGTTTAACTTACGAGTCATGAATTATTTGGTGGGCTGTGGGTATTAGTTTTTAACTTTAATATATATATATATATATATGCATACATATGTCCTTTGGTGTACGCTTGCTTTGGACATAAATGATTTCATGTTAAGATTTCTGTCAGTAGGTGAAACTTATCAGAATTGAACTTGTTTCAATTGTATTTCTTATTGGTGTTCGATTTGATTGGAAGTGAATTTCGTACATGTCAGTTTCATTCCTCTTTCATTATGTCCATATTAGTTAGAAGTTAGAACCATTTATGACTTCTAATTTTCTTTTTTAGATATTATCATTACGTTACGGTCTCAATTAATGCTATTTGATGAGATTTTTTGCGATGGAAAACTTGATTCCTTGTTTCCCTTTTCATTGACCTGTTAGCTTAGTGTTTGTTGCTGTATGTTGAATTATACTTGGTTTTTATGGACTTTTGAAAGTCTCTTATGTGCTGAGAGTTTTCTTTGGACAGATTCCATAGATGAAAGTTTTTTCAGCTAAGGTGGACGATGGAAGAGAAGGACAAGATGGGAAACCATCGGTTGGTCCTGTATATCGTAACCTACTAGCCAAGAATGGATATCCTCCACCTGGTCCTGATATGTCTACTGCTTGGAGTCTTTTCAGGTAATTGTTTATGTTTCACTTTTATTTTATTAGTTACCGTTCGCAACCTCTTTCATATGGATTCCAGCTGCTTGTTCTATTGCATAGAACCTGAAAACATAAATATGTTTTATATTTTCCATTAACTTTGTCATATGCTAGATTTCAAAGATCGAAGTGAAAGTTATATTGCTGTTACATTGACATCTGGAAGCAAAAAAAAAAAAAAAAAATCTCAAGGCAATCGAATGATACTGGATGATATTAAAAATAAAACTAAAAAAGAGAAAATAGAGGAAAAAAAACTTGAAGGAAGGCCTTACCTAGTATGTGAATTAGAGTAGGCTAATACAGTTGAAGGTTCCTTTGTCGTAACTTTGACCTAGATTTTCCTTGCACAAACTAAATATTAGCATACTAGAATTGTTTTTTGTCTTTTTGACAACAATAAGGATCTTAACGTGCAGTTCATCTGTTCAGAAGCACCCCGGAAACAGGATGCTTGGATGGCGAAGAATTGTTGATGGGAAGGTAAAATTTATGTTCAAAACCAGATTTCAGTATTTGTACCAGATTTCTACTAGTTGCTTTTTTACTTTTTTTAGTCTTTAGGTGGGCCCTTATATCTGGAAAACATACAACGAAGTTTATGATGAAATTCTGCACATTGGTTCTGCATTACGAGCATCTGGTGCCGAACCTGTAAGCATAAATATGTCTATTTTCTGAGGCCTTGTAATTGTTAATGAAAATTTGGTTACAAAGCGATTTCAGTTTTTACTCTGATCTTTTCTCTGTACTGTTTTACTCACATACTTGTGGCAGGGATGTCGGGTTGGGATTTATGGAGCAAACTGCCCACAGTGGATTATGGCGATGGAGGTCTGCTTTAAGACTTTCTATATGAAGTTTTTAAGTAACAACTTTGTTTTTTCCGTCCTCTCACGGGCATCTTGACAGCTACTGTTAAGATCACTATTGTTATAATGGTTCTTGCATCAAATGCAAAAATCTTTCTTAATTCAGGATAACTAATGTATCAAATATGAGAATCATTTTAAAAGAGTAAGTTTGCAAGTGCCCTTTGGGCACTAGCTAGAAAGCCCTGTAACTTTTATCTTTTTTCCAATGTTTGTAGGCCTGCAGTGCCCACAGTTTGGTTTGTGTGCCTCTCTATGATACACTGGGTAAATGCCTCTTGAGGAATTTCCTCCTTTTGATAAAATTTTAAGATCTCTGTCTGCTCAAGAAGCTCTTTTTTTTTTTGGATTTTATTGTTTGATATTTGAGGTTCTTAATGATTGTTTGATATTTGAGATTCTTAATGACCCCCATTATCTGTCGCAATTGCAACAGTGAAACTTTGGGGCTAACATGTGCAAAAGCCAAGTTTGAATGAACCATCACCCTTCCTAAACCCCATTATAGTGAGATCTTTTCTGGTTAATAAGTTAGTTTACTAGGGGCATCTTGTTGGTCTTTGTGGGAGGTGTTTCCACCACCCATGATGATGTACATACGTTTTGGAACATCAGGATGACTGGCAGGTTCTTCTCTCCTGCTATTTGTGAGTCTCACTGCTGATTTGAATACTATAGAATATTAATGGCTAAAAAAAGAATAGTATAGAATATTCAACTCTTTTAGATTCCTGTCCAGATGATACAATTGAACTAATATGTATTCTGCTTGATAGCAGTATCAATCAGTGTATTGCTAGGCATGCTGCCAGATTTTTTTATCTGATATTAGTCCTACAAAATTCGGTGCTTCATTATTCAGCATCCATAGCGTAATTCAGTTCTTGTAACCTGTGTGCAGGACCTGGAGCTGTAAATTTTATTATAGATCATGCAGAGGTTGATTTTGTATTTGTACAAGACATAAAAGTAAAAGAAGTAAGGTTTAGGTGTAACTGATACCCTTTTCCATATTATCATCTAATTTCAAAATCAACATTCTGATGTTACCCATGCCTTTGCAGCTTTTGAATCCAAATTGTAAATCTACTCAACGGCTGAAAGGTGAAACATAACTAGAAAAAAAAACTTTAGTTTGCTGATAGCTGCTAGAAGGCTCTGTGCTGAGTTTTATTTTGGTGGCAGCAATGGTTTGCTTCACCTCATTGACGGAGGAAGACAGTGCTAACGCTTCTCAAATGGGGGTTAAGACATATTTGTGGAACGAGTTTCTCCACATGGTTACTTTTTACTCTCAATTTCTATACTCTAAGTGAGAGAGATAATTCAACTTCCAATAGACTAAGATTTTCATTTTCTTTTTCACTTTGGGTTTGCTATGTTTTGTTACTGTTTATTCCATCTTAAAATTTTCTTGCGCTGGTATAATGAGCAATGCTAAAAATTTAGATTGCGTTATGGAAAATTCTATTTAGTCTTTTTAGGTGTGAATTTCAGCAGAAATTGTACCAACTAATCCTCTATTTGATATGTTAATTTTGCATCGAAACCTATCCATATTAAGATCTGTTGAAACTCATTTTCACATTTTTACATGTGACTTTTTCATGCCTTTTTTCCCTTTCTGAATATCTTTTTTTTTTTAAATTCTATGTGAATCTTTGAGCCTGTTGTTGCATCAGGGAAAGGAAAATCCACAAGAGATTTCACCACCTCAACCATTTAACATTTGCACAATTATGTATACAAGCGGCACCAGTGGAGATCCTAAGGGTGTTGTGTTAACACATGAAACAATTGCACTACTTGTATACGGCATTGATCTTTTCTTGGATCAATTTGAGGACAAGGTATACTTAATGCTTGGACTTCATATAAATAATCTCTATAGATATGATTCTTCCCCTGTTGTTCAAGTAACACCAGGTTATTCTTTCTTGTTAATATTTACTTCATGTTAAAACAGCACAGTAATTTCGAGCGTGCCTTTTGTACAAGTATAATGCTGGTTCACCTTCTTGATATATCCTTATGTTAATCAGATGACAGTGGATGATATGTATTTGTCCTTTCTGCCCCTTGCTCATATCCTTGACCGCATGATTGAGGAATACTTTTTCCATAAAGGAGCATCTGTTGGCTACTATCATGGGGTATGCTACTGGAACTCTGTTTCTTAAGCATATCAGGAACTCTTTTGGGTCCCCGGTTACATGTCAAGAATTGATAAGAGAGGAGAAAAGGGATTGGGAATGAAAAACATGGTACTCTTATGTTTGGTTGAGGAAATGAAATGTAGAAGGAAGAGAGGAATGGGGGTGGGGGAGCCCCTGCCTTGAACCCCCATGGTAGAGGGGTGGGTGTTTTAAGGAAGTTATGAACTTGTAATCAATACCATTAATGAAGTGTAGCAGTCATGGCAGGACATGACCACCATCGAATGGTGCTCATTATGCTATGCCAGACGTATGGTGACGATGGAATTATTTAGATAGATAAGCATAGGGTCACAGAAAGAGGAAAAGAGAAAATGGGGATGTGATTGTCGCTGTCTACAAACCAAAAGTCCACTTATGATTTTCCTTATTAAGTTATAAATGTGCTTGATTAGTCAATATTTTTTTTTTTCAAAACCATGTTATCAACATGACTTTTTTTCAAAAATATGCTTGTTCTTATAGAACTTGAAGGAACTGCGGGATGACATAATAGAGTTGAAACCAACATTTTTAGCCGGTGTACCCCGAGTTTATGATATGATTCATGAAGGCAAGTCATTGATAAACCTTTATCTGCTGATTGATTTTCAGTGACAAATATTCACTCAGCGAAGTTTATCTATTTTTTAGGTATTAAAAAAGCACTAGAAGAACTCAGCCCGTTGAGGAAGCAGATTTTTTATGCTCTCTACAAATAGTAAGACAGTGCTCGCTACAAATAGTAACTCATTCCCTTTACTTGTAGTAGAAGTGCATATAAAATAACCATGATGCCGTTGCACACTTGTTCTATTTACAGCAAACTTTTTTGGATGAATCGAGGGCATAAACATAAATATGCATCACCTTTAGCAGATTTGTTGGCCTTCAGGAAGGTAGTGATTTTTCTCCTCTAAAAACTTATCGTCTAAACTGAAATTTTGGCCATATTTGGGAGCTTGATGATTACCATGCATCTATCTTCAACATTGTGGAACCCTGATTAATGGGTTTAGATCACATAAATACTTGTTCATCGAGTTTGCATTATTCAAAATGGCTTTCAAATTTCGGTGTTACCTGATCTTTGGCTTTAGAATTCTGGAGACTGGTCAAACCCGGCCAATTCTCCCTTACTTATTGCCTTTACTATTCCCTTGAAAAGTGTGTTTGTTTCAGTTTTGGGGAAATAACCTCTTGACAAATAACGTGCCATCATCTTTCTTTTCCATTTCTACAAGGTCAAAGCTAAGTTGGGCGGTCGGCTTCGATTGTTATTATCTGGAGGTGCACCATTGAGCTCTGAAGTAGAAGAATTCCTGCGGGTCACTTGTTGTGCCTTTGTTGTCCAAGGCTATGGTAAATTCCTGTCTATAGTAGTATAGAAAATAAGCACAGGTTATCTAGGTTCTATTTAAAACAGGGAAAGAGAAAAGAAGAAAGAAAGAAAAAAGAAATGGGTTTGTGTTGGTTGGCAGAAAGTGTAAATTCTGCCGCATTTCCAAGCATTTTCTGAAGAAAATAAATTATTATGATCAGTCTTTTTTCTTAATTCACCTTCAAATTGACAATTTAGCAACATCCTTTTATACTTCATGCTTAAACATCATGGATATTTTCATTTTCCTCTTATTTGTATTTGAAGTTCCTATTCCAAGCATAACTGCTTATCACTGTATGGTGCATTTGTTGACTTAGGTGTTTGATGGTTTCTCTAGGCAGAATGCTGATCAGATACATAATTCTCATACAGCTCTTATCCCCATTGTACAATTTGCATTGTGGTTCATATAGGATTGACAGAAACTTGTGGAGCTTGCACTATTGGCTTTCCGGATGAGATGTGCATGGTCGGTGCTGTTGGGTCCCCAGCTGTGTACAATGAGTTGCGCCTAGAGGAGGTTTCAGACATGGGCTACAATCCACTCGGAAATCCTCCCTGTGGTGAGATATGCGTGAGAGGAAAGACTCTTTTCTCTGAGTATTATAAAAATCCTGAACTGACAAGAGAATCTTTCAAGGATGGATGGTTTCATACAGGTTGGGAAGTTCAATTTCCTGTCAAACTTGCAAACTGAATTTTTAATCACCAATCTTGCATTCTGATTTCATAATTCTTTGACACTCCCAGGAGACATAGGGCAAATGCTTCCTAATGGAGTTGTTAAGATTATTGATAGGAAGAAAAATCTTATTAAGCTCTCCCAGGGAGAGTACGTGGCACTAGAGTATTTGGAAAATGTTTATGGAGTCACTCCAATTGTTGATGATGTGAGCATCTTCTTTGATTAATTTCTTAATTGATTGCACAAGAAAGTAATGTGTTTTAATCAATTTAAAAACAAATCTTCTCGATTCCATATGGATTTAAATTATGTTTGGTACTATTTCTTTAGGTATGGGTCTATGGAAACAGCTTCAAATCAATGCTAGTTGCTGTGGTTGTGCTACATGAAGAAAATGCTAAAAAGTGGGCATACTTAAATGGTTACACAGGTTCACTCTCTGAGCTTTCTTCTCTCAATAACCTACAGAACTATGTCCTCTCAGAGCTGAAATCCACGGCTGAGAAAAACAAGGTAACATCTACTTAAATTCAATCTGATACTGGTGAAATGAAAATTTTGGGGTAAGTTTTGCTAGTTCTTTACATTTTACTGTCGTGTTCTATTCAAAATGAAATGTTTGAAGGCACGAATCAATGGCCTGATGCACGACCTAAACATAATCTGCCTTTCTGCTGCTGCAAACTGTTGTTACTACAAGATATGAAAATACGTTTTCTGCAAATACTTGATTGCAAAAACACATGCATTTATGGAGAGAAACCAAAACTTTCAAACAAAAATACATACAAGATTATCCGAATAAGCTCCCACGTTACAAAAAGTGGGTTTCATTGTTGTTCTGAACTCTCACATGAATACATAGAACATCTTTTTTTTTTTTTTAATTCTCTATATGACTTCATAGAATGCTAGTAACTGTTACACGTGGACCAAGTGACTTTTCCTTTCTTCGATTAGAAGTTTGTTTATTCAGTAGTTATTGTTTGCATCTTTTGAAAACCAGATGAGAGGTTTTGAATTCATCAAAGGAGTAATTTTGGAACCCCACCCCTTTGACATGGAAAGAGATCTAGTGACTGCAACATTGAAGAAAAAAAGAAACAATCTGCTTAAATATTATCAGGTAATTTGCACTACTTTCATATATGCTTCTTTTTAGCAACTAGTATGGGAGACTCACAAGTTATTTTACAGGCTGAAATCGATGCACTCTACCTAAAGTTGACTGCAAAAATAAGAAGCTGAAGTAAAAGAGCGTGTATGCCATGATGATAAACCCCCTATCCTGCTTCATCGTTACTGCTACATATATGTAACTTAGCAAATAAAAGTGAAAAAATATATACCAGGAAAAAATGGTTGTGTTGATTGTCTATGCTTAATGTATAAAATTAACAATAAAACTAGATTTTTAGATAAATATATTGAAAAAAAAAAAAGCAGAATGTCAATATTTTTATGCATTAATTTTTGACGAAGGTGAATAAATTATCCATAGCAATCTTCTTTATTACATTTTTTTAATTTAAATAAATATAATGTAAATTGTAATGTAAATTATACTTCTATGGAAGCTTACCATTTCACTTTATTAATGATTGATAAATATAAATAAAATCTCATTTTCCACGTTGTAATTTCCTTTCCTTTTTTTAATCTTCTCTGGTACAAAAGTTTCCAATTTCATTAATAGTATAGGTTGGCTGGCTGGCTGTCCTTTGGATTTACATTTTACTAAGCAAACGAGGTCGTTTTACCTTTGTTCAAACTAATTGCTGCAATAACAGAAAAAGGCCAGCTGCTAATCTCCCACGTGCGTCGGTTAAGTAATTGCCCGCCATGCGCGCTTCGAAAAGAACCCCAATCCTCTCTCTGAAGATCGCCCGTTATCTTTGTACACTTTCGACTAGCAATCTCGACAACGATATCAACAATTGCCTCCAAAAAAACCGCTTGAACAAAGCTCGAAAGATTTTTGAACAAAACCCAAATGCCGGATACATCTTATCATGGAACGCGATGATCAACCCTAATCTACGAAACGGCCAGGCTGAAAACGCCCATGACCTGTTCGATGAAGTGACCCTTAAAAACCCCGCTTCTTGGAATAACTTTTTGTCAGGCTTAAAGAAGAGCCAAAACCCAGAGGGAGTTTATAAATGCTTTTTAGAAATGGTTAGATTTGGTTTGAAACCGACTGAGTACACCATTTTGATTTTAGTTAATGCGGTTTCGGAAACGAAGTTTACGTTATTGGTGCCGCAGATTCATGGGCTTGTTGTTTGTTTGGGGCTTAATATGAGCATGTTTGTGGGGTCTGCGTTGATGAAATGGTACGCGCGAATAGGAGATGTAGAGGGGGTGGGGAGAGTGTTTGATGAGATTTTGGTAAAGAATGTTGCTTGTTGGAATGCTTTGATTTCAGGATATATGGAAGTAGGGTATTTTAAACAGGCTCGTAGGGTATTTGATAAGATGCCAGAGAGGGATATTGTTTCTTGGACTTCTTTGATTAATGGATACATTAGGAATAAGTGGATTAATAGAGCTAGGTCTATGTTTAATAAGATGAGTGAGAAGAACGTGGTTTCTTGGACCGTGATGATTAATGGATACGTGCAAAGTGAGAGGTTTCGGGAGGCGTTGAAGCTGTTTGTTTTGATGTTAAGATCAGAGACGAGGCCTAATCAGTTTACATTTTCGAGTGTCTTGAATGCATGTGCTGGGTGTTCTTATCTTGTTACTGGCCAGCTAATCCATTCAAGCATCCTGAAGTTTGGGATACCAGAGGATTTAATATTGTCGGCTTCCAGTGTTGATATGTATGCAAAATGTGGGGATATTGGTGCTGCATTTTGCATTTTTGAGTCCATGCGCGAGAAGAATTTGGTATCATGGAATTCTTTGATCGGAGGTTATGCAAGACAAGGGCTTGGAAGAAGAGCATTGGAGGAATTTGATAGAATGATTAACACTGGTGTCTGGCCGAATCAGGTTACAATTTTTAATGTTTTATTAGCATGCAGGAATAGTGGATTGGTTGAAGAAGGTGAAAGACACTTCAATTCCATGGACCAGAAGTATGGAATACAAGCAGGGTTGGAGCATTATGCTTGTATGATGGAGATCTATGGGAAAACAGGTCAGCTGGATAAAGCAGATAAATTGATCAAGGGGATGTTTTTCAAGTTTGATGTGGTTGTTTGGTGTGCATTTGTAAGAGCCTTTTATTTGCACTCAGGTTTGGAACCTAGTGAACTTGCCACAGAAGGTATTTTAAAATTGAAAATGGATTATCCTTTAGTTTATTCAGCGTTTAGAAAGATACATGGTGTACCAGGAACAGTGACTGGTGTAACTGAATTTAGGCCCTTGAAGGAGATGAAAAAAAAGAGGAAAATAGCTAAACAGAAGGCTCTTAGTCGGATTGAATCTCCTGTGAAAGTGATATGAACCAATACAGCTGTATACTGTTTAATACAATAAGGCTTCTTAGCTGCAAATCCTTAGCCTGACTGCCTGACCAGTATAGCCTTTTGGACTTGTTATCTGGATTTTTTGGATAGATGATGTCTTGATTCGTGAGACATTGGTATCCAGATTGTGATGGCCACAATCTCATGGATCTAGGTTTCTATGGGGTGACAGGTGACAAAAATGAAATAGAATAAAGGGTTTTTGCCTAGTTCTTTAATTTTAGCAAGAACCTCTAGTGATATGAAACATCAAGAATGTTTTGACATTGGCTCATTATTTACGGTTGCAAAGTCGAGGTGAATCCATAGGTGGTTGTTATATCAAGCATCAAGCATGTTTCGATATCAGGTCAGTAGAATTAAGGAATTGAGATGAATCCCGCTGGTTAGGACTTGGGATATTTGTATTTCATGAGAAACTTTTCCCCATCATGAGGCAAACAAATTTTATCTTGGTTACAGATTGGTATTTTCTTCATTAATGGTTATGGTTTCTGGTCTGCGATTGTAAATAGAGTAAGGTGCAAATGTGAATGATTAGCGGGCAGGAGATATTACATTTTCATTAGTATTGTTTTTCTTTTAATCCTATGTACCAAATAAAAATTTATGCATGACGTTTTTAATATGGTGTGATTTTTTTTATCAATGTTTCGTCTGTTGTCAAATCTTTATTTGTGCGCTTTTTGCACCAGAGATAACAGCAAAAGAGATCATCTATTTTAGGGAAACAAGATCAAGCACTGCTTAACACATGTAATAGGTCCCAAAATCATGCTCGTTTCTTTTTTCCTTTTTTGATCATTTCAATTGTTCGACAACTAAATGATAGATAGCAAGTAAAAACAAATTTGGACTAATAGTATAATACAGATGATAGGAACGAACTTCCTACTCTTACGGTGGTACAAGAAATTTCTCTATCTTCCAATTTATCAACTAACAAATGGAATCGCACGCAAATAGCACGGTGGAAAAATTGGAGTCCAAACAACTAGCATGGGAGTTGCTTCATCTTCTGTTCCTACTCTCCTCCCGATCCTTCTCCCTTTTCTTGTAAAGTTTTTCAAGGACACACTTTGCCTCGCACTGTGGGAAATTTTCAAGATCGTAATAATGCGGTGCTATATCAACTAACCTGCATTCATAAAAAAAGTGTATATGTAAAAATTAACCAGTAATCAAACAAAAATCTTTGAGAGACTATCTCAGGGTACCAAAATTCCAGAAAGTTAGCGTATCGTCCTTGGATCATGAAACCAAGAAGAAACAATCACACAACTACAAGTGTGGCAAATATAAGAAAGGATAGACTAACCATTCACCACGAATATCTGTCACAGTACGAATGAAATTCCGGCTTGTCAGGACATACTCATTGTAGATGACCCACTCTGGTTTGTGATCCAGGCAATTTGATGGATGCAAGTGCACCACCTGCAAAATAAATAATGCGACACACCTTGTTACATTCCACCCGGGCACCTCCAAAAGGGAAAACACTTCACCAAGAAAGAATGTATGCTCAGGAAACAGAGAATACTGATATTTATACTAACCTGATTGTCTTTAACTGTCAAGTAGTGTCCTGTGCGCTCCAGATGAGCTACCTGCATGAAATAACCAGCAAGCATGGCCTTTCTAATGTTGACATAGTAGTCACGGCCGTTGAAATCAGTGCTGCACAGCTTCAGGTTAAACCTCGACATGATGCGCACCAGCTGTTGTCTAACATTATCGGCAGCCTTCAGCGCTCTATGGTTGATAAAATTCTCATAGCACCAAGTTGCATCCTCATCTGCATTTTTTCACATATTTTAAGACTCTTAGGTCAATTGCTGCTAGAAAACAAATTTGGGTCACCTTTAGGGAAAAGGGTGTAAGCACTTACTGTTTTGTTTGTAAGCATGGTACACATTCAAAAGCGTGAGATGATCACCATCAATATGCCCAAACCTAGCTTTTGCTTCATCTGCAGCTTTTTGCGCCTCCCTAGGCCGTACAAAGCAATTGGGTACTAAAGAAAGAATTTAGTTATCACAGAAGAGGTCCACGGTAGGTCAGCAGAGGCATACAGGCGAGACGATACCATTTGCTTCATGAGAGAATACTGAGAAACTGCAACTATCTGCATCAGCACTTACTTAGAAATCCTAAGGTGCACACCAACAGGGGGCATGGAACCCAGATAAAACAGTTGCTGATGACAACCTAAGACACGATACAACTTTTAACTGTATCAATGCATACAAGCATATGCATCTAAGCAGTTAAACACGTCGTGTTGTGCACTAGCCTTAATGCAAACACTATTCAGATAGGGGCAATATCAAGCATGATAGAGCCCCATGAAAACTACTTCCTAAGACATGACCCAACACAAACACAAAGCATAATAGAAAACAAATAAAAGTACCTGAAAGCATGGCAGCAATTGAAAGAATCTCATTTGAACAGTTGAACTCAGAACTAACTACGAGCATCTTTGACATTTGAGGATCCAAGGGGAATTCACTCATGATCTGTCCCGACTTTGTTAAGTTCCCCTCATCATCCAATGCTCCCAAGTAATTCAACACTTCCAATGCCCGCATCAATGTCTCTGGAGCAGGCGGGTCCATAAAATCAAAATGCACCAGATCATCAATTCCCAGTTTCTTCAAGGTGAGAACTGTACTTGCAAGGTTTGATCGTAATATTTCAGGATAGGTCTGCGGTTGCAGATCATTATTAAAACTCTTTTCAGTGTAGAGCCTGAAACATTTGCCAGGTTGAGTTCTTCCAGCACGCCCAGATCTTTGGTGTGCACTTGCCTTTGATATGGGAGATACCAGTAAGGACTCAACACGCACTCGTGGGTTATAAACTTTTTGCTTGGAAAACCCTGGGTCAATAACATAAACAATGCCATCAATGGTCAAGGAAGTTTCAGCAATGTTTGTTGACACCACAATCTTCCTTCCAGGAGGGCCATCCTCCTTCGAAGGAGGCGGAGCAGGTTCAAAAATCTTCTGTTGCATTGCTGGTGGAAGAGTTGAATATAAAGGCACTACTTTAACAGGTCCTACTTGATCCCCCATGTTTCCAATTTCTTTTGTTATTTTGCGACAGGCATCTTCTATCTCCTCCTCTCCAGTCAGGAAAACAAGTATGTCACCACGAGGCTCACACATGTGTATCTGGACAACAGTCCGAATTGCGGCCTCCAAGTAATCCCTTTCAGGTTCCTGAGTGTAGAATATCTCCACAGGGTGAAGCCTACCAGGAACCTTCATAAGTGGTGCACCATTAAAATAACCCTGAAACTTTTCAGCCTCCAGTGTTGCACTCATAACAACAAGCTTCAGGTCAGATCGATTCTTTAACACTTCTGTCAGAAGCCCAAATAGCACATCAGTCGCCAAAGTTCTTTCATGGGCCTCATCAAGAATAATTACTTTATACCTTTCTAAAAGAGGATCAGTCATTGCTTCACTTAAAAGCATACCATCTGTTAGATACCTGTCAAAAACCAAAAATAAGATAGCCTTAATTCTATCTAATGCATATCCAAGTAGACACCGATAATATCAAATAAAAAATCAGGAAAGATAAGCTTACTTTAAAACAGTTCTTGCACTACTGCAATATTCGAAACGAACACTATAACCAACCTCCTCTCCAATAGTTACATCCATTTCTTCAGCAACGCGCCGCGAAACAGACATTGCAGCCACTCTTCGCGGCTGGGTACAGGCAATCATAGTTTTCCTACGTTTATCCGGAGTTTCTATATCAACAGCGTCCAATACAAACTGAGGTATCTGTATAACAAAAACCCTAGAAACGTAACTGCCTAATTCTTTTCTCAAACAGAAACCCCCAATAATTGTTCACAGACAGTGAATCGAATTAAAATTTAAAAAATTACAGCTGAAGAAAGCACTAACCTGGGTGGTTTTACCGCTACCGGTTTCGCCGACTAAGATAAGGGTTTGATTGGCCTTCAAGACTTGCAAAAACTCCTCTTTCTGTTGCCAAACAGGGAGAGTTTTCCTCTTTTCCAAAATCTCGTAATACCTTTGGGAATAAGGCCTTCCATTCCACTTGTTGATCGAGCTGTTGAAGTTCATCGCCCCTAATCCTCCGCCGTTCGATTTTGCGGCCTTAGCCGATGTCTCATCCACCACATCGAACAAGCTCACCTTCCTTTTCCTCTCCGTACCCATCCAAAACCCTAAACCTTATAAAAAGGGAAATTTGATTGGCCTCTTTTAAAATAGAAGGGGAAAACAATAAACCTGGAAGCGTAAATCAGGGCTGGGGAAAAGAGGGCGGCTGGGGTATTTGGGTCGGGTTATTGTATTCCATTTATTTGTCCGTTGAAAAAACAGAAAAACTTTCCAGATTTACTGATCGTTCCCTACTATTTGGATTTATTTACTCGAGCACCTTCTTGTTAAACCGACAATCTCGGTAGAAAACCTCACGTTTTAGCCAATAATATTTTAATTCCCTTCAAGGCCATTGGGGCCATTTAGTTGGACATAAAGAAAATGGACTTTCGAAATCAAAGTCTTCTTGTTAATTGGGCTTTTAATATTTCAGTTAGCCCAATGACAGAAGTCCAATCTTTTATTGCATCATCTACCTTGCCGGGCTGCAGTTTTTCTTTTGGGGTTCATCATTGTCTATTTTTTTAAGTCCATTTAACCTCTGATTGAACTATCGGGCTTTGGCCCCGTATATTACCCCTACAAAAAATTTCACCATCTTTGATTTTATTACGTAAAAATTTGGGACTACCATTTCATTTTTTTTTTTTTTTGAGTAGGAGATTTGGAATGAATAAATGTTTGGGTGTCACCATCTTTGTTTTTTAAACTAAAAGAGGGATTTTGAATGAACAAATCAAATTCATAATGTTTTGAAGTTTTTCAAATGAAATTAATTGAATTGTATTTTCATTTGGTGATGATGCACAGGGGGCAATGGTATAGACTTGCAAAAGGTTAATTCAACGTAAAAAAGAAAAAGACAAAAGTTTTAAATAAGATACCTTAGTTGTTAGAACATGAAAATATTGGAGGCAGATCCAGTTTTCATAGCTATCAAAATGATAAACTAACGCAAACAATTCAACAAAAACAAAAAACAAATTTGAAAAAGGTTAGCATTCATGTACACACACGTGTATATGTATAAAACCATTTCCTTGACTTTAGGACAAGTATTACCGCTAACAACCAACGATTTGTGTTCCCTTTTGTTCAAATTGAAATATTTCATTTCACTTTGAGGTACCCAAATTAAAGAAATACTCTTCTTTTCCTTTTTTGCACATCACTTCTTTTTTTTTTTTTTTTTTTAGCTTTTAAGTCAATTTCATCATTTAAATTTCATGCAATTACTCTTATTAAATATCCAATTTAAAATTAATTAATTATAAATGAAACGGTTCAACTTAAATATAAAATTATAAAATATTAAATATGATGCCCTCATCACATGTAAGCATAAATGAAACAAAAAAATTTATCATATGATAAATTTGAAAAATATGACATAAAAAAATCTTAAATTTGATATCATGTTAAATATCAATTTTAAAACTAATTGATAATAAGTAGAGAGATCCAACATTGATATAAAAATACAATAAATTATATATTTATTAGATATGGGATAACGTCATTTTAACAAAACTCTATCATGTGTAACATAAAGAATTTTTAACTTTGAAATCATGTTAAACATAAATCTTAAAACTAATTAGTAATAAGTGAAGGTATTTCACATAAATATAAGATTACAATAAATTAGATATTTATTAGATATGAGATAACATCACTTTAATAGATATTCATCATGTGTAAATTATAGGCAGATATGAAAAAGGCCATCATGTGGCATATTTGAAAATGACAACAAAAAAAAGTTTTGACTCGGATATCATGTTAAATATCTAACTTAAAATCAATTAAAATGTAGGTAAAAAAGTTCAACTTGAATATTAAATTACAAAAAAATATATTATTATATAGGAGATAATATCATTAAAAAAATTATATATTTATTAGATATGTGATAATACCACTTTAACAACTTTAGACATAATAATTTACATAATAAAATTAGTATTAATTTTTTAAATTTTTTTGAATGAAGATTACAAATATATATTTAAAAAATATATATGTATATTCATTATTGAATCAAAAATTCAAATTAATCAAATGTAAAGGGTAAAGTTCCTTAAGACTTTATAACAAAATCAAACATGATAGTCGGCTGCATTGAATTTGGAAAATGAAACATCTGCATCCGCATGCAACTTGAAATTAATAAATGCTCTCTTTACTCTCATCTGCAAGCAAAGAAAAATTAGCTAATTACAACTTAAAGGGGATCATAATATCATATTCAATCATTAACGTGACCGTGACGTCAAACCGTTTGTTTGCAACGTCCTTTACGAGGGAAATCTTAGAGCCTTGGCCCATTTGGATTTAACAATTACGTCTCTACAGTGCGACTTAATATCCTTATGGTTCAACTGCATCATTCTGAGTTGTTTGGATATAAATTGGGCGGCAAGTAATTGAACAGGTGTTTTGGACTGGAGGACAAGGGTCCAATAAGCCACTGGACTGGACTCTTTATCATTTTACCCTCAATATTATTTTTTTAATTTTAATTTTATATTTATATTTAAATTGGCTAAATAAATATTATTTTATTAAGTTTTAGTTTATGTAAATATATTATTGTCATTTTTAATAAAATTATTATTGATATAAAAATAATTTTAATAATTTATTAATTTTGTAAATAATAAATAAATTAAAATTTTAATTATATATTTTAATTTAATATTTTCAATGATAATTTTTTTATCTCATTATATTTCATTTCAATTTCACTTATGCTTTTATATCCAAATACATATCTTATTATTAATTTTAATCTCATTATTACAATATCAAAACTTATTACCATCGTTATTTTTTATTTCACTAAAACAAATTTTACCCCGTGTCCAAACGGAGCCTAAGAACTCTATTTGACTATTTGGGTTGCCGGTACAGGTCTGTGGGCACGGATTTGGATGGCAGCCGGCCCCTCACCTCCGGGGGTCCGGATGCATCCAAACAGCCCTTTATAGAGAGCAGAGCAAGTTGATTGATTAGGGTTTGCTAATTATTCCTTCATTGCCAGCCAAGATTAAGTACTTGTCTCTTCTCGTAAGCTTGGTGCAATCAAAACCCAGAGCCTTACCAATCTCATTCTGAATATGATTAGCCACGTCAAACCTTGATCTTTCACTATGATCATGGCAAGCGGACAAGCCAGATACAGCATCAAGCATTTGGACGGAGTAGCTTGGCCGTGGGTTCATGAGGAAGAAAAGTGGATCCAGGCATTTCAGGCCTCCAGCTGTTGTGCCGTAGTACATGGAAACACGGCTGTCCATTGCAACAGGAACAATATCATCGCTCATCTCAGCAAATAACGGGCTGAACCTTAAGAGATAGGGCTCCCTACACGTGGTCCCTTCGGGACATACAACTAGGTCCCCCTGATTTAATAGCTTTTTCATCATTTTACTATCTTGATCACGATTCCTTGTTAATCTGACGGTTTTGATTGGAGCTAACAGCTCTGATACCCTGCTCAAGCTGTAAGTAACAGCAGTGAGATCTTTCTGTAATGAAAAAGAAAGATAGAGGGGATCCAGCAGCGTTCTATGATTGCTAACGTAAAGGCGGCCTTTGGATTTATGTTTCTTTGAGTTTGTAAGTGAACGGTGCCGCTGAGAGGTTTGCGGGATTGAAAGAAAGAGGTGCAATCCGCTGTAGCCTAATATGGGGATGGAAACCCTGTGGGGAAGCGTTAAGGCGATGACAACTCTGACGATGGAAAGGATGAAGCCAAAAGGGACCCACATGAACATGGTCAGGGTGGCCAAGGGGGTAGGCCTGAAAGCCAGTCTCCCATCATGGAAAATGAGTGGTTTGGGGCATACCTCTCTTGGTACCTGTTGCCAGATTCTTTTGTCTGCTTTTCTCACTAGGTAAATTTCCTGTTCCAACAAAATGCAATAAATTAATTAGCAACCAGCAACCGTTAGAGATATAGAAAAAAAGGGAGAAAATTAAAACTAGGTTTCTTCTTTATTATTAATGCTCACAGGTTTAGAAGTAGCAAAAACAATGTTGTGGTTTCTAATGTTTACTTTGAACGAAATATACGCGAAAAACTTGTACGAAATTTTTTAAAAAAATTTAAATAAAGTTTATGAAATTTTTTGTTAAAAATAATTTAATAAAAATTTAAATTGATAAATTGATAAATTTTAATGACAAGATAATAATATGTAAAAGAATATTATTAAAAATATAATTTATAATTAAATTTAATAAGTTCTTATTTAATGATAAAAAATTTATCAAAATTTATATTAAAAATATATATCTAAAAAATATATCAAAATTTATTAAAATCTTTTAAAACTTTATATACTTCAATTACAAAATAAAAACTTTCAATTTATCAATTTTAATTTTAATTTTAATTTAATTAATTTTAGTAAAAAATTTTACGAATTTCATACAATAAACTTCATTCTAAGTCCATGTCCGAAATAAATTCGTTCGCAGCTTTTATACCTATGATTGACAGATATTAATTTTCGTTTTTCGACAAATATCCGTATACTCTTCATATTATTAATTGCCACAGACAAAAATATGAACATGAATCTTCTAGGGTGAGGGCGCCGAGTCGAAACTACTCTAAATAATTAAGGTGTTATATGTTTATGTTGGTTTTAAAGCTACCCGAAATTATTTTCAAAGAAAAGAACTTACAGAAGTTGGTGTCTCACCTTGCAATGAGAAAACAGATTATATTCAAGTGATTTCTTGAAGCCACTGATGCCAATAACATCACGACCCGAACTTTCCCTTGCAATTATCTCCTCCAAAGCAGCCTTACTTCTTTTCTTCTCTTCCATGACGCCCAAAAAGTACCCACGAAACACCTTCAGCTCTCTTCCAACTACAAAATCAATTTCCAGGTAATCCCTCAAGAAACCCTCGATCATCACTTGAGGAATATTACTGACAGCTACTTTTTTTCCTACTTTCTTCAACATCTCAAATGTTTCCAAGCCAACATCCTCCAAGAAGAACTTTGGCAGAACAGCACTTCCAACTCTGAAGCTCTTTTTCTTTATCCCAAAGAGGCAAACCAGGACCATTATCTTCAACCCCATCTCTTCACTAACTAAGCATAGAAATGGATGTAAAACAAAGAGAATAAAAGCCCTCAAGAGCCCCCCAGCTTCAAAGGCCACCAGCATGAAGTAAGGAAACAATGATGAGGACTTCAACAAAGCCTCTTCTACATTGAAGACCATAGTTTGGTTTGACAAGTTTGATCTGTGAGCAAATAAAGAAAGATACTTTTGATATTTACCCTCGTTTGGATGGATGTTGCT